CATTTTTTCAATTCACAAATGCACACTTGCATTGCCTACTAAGAAAGTTAGTACCGGTAGTCATCGGGTTAACCAATTTAAAGTATTTATAGATGCATGCTTAATATTGAAGTCAAATTCACAAGATATTGTACATTTTGCTGGTCTTAATCTGAGATATAATAAAATGTTAAATGTACACAAATTGTTAAATATCCTAATAAACCATGATCCTACTGTATTATATTAAAGTATCTCATACTTTAATAAATGTGAGAAATTTACAATAAGTTCTGACTCAGTAGCATGTTATTTTTAATTTGTTAGGAAAAAAAACTGTATATACAATACTTCATTGTACTTTTGCAGAATGGGACTGTGGTGTCCATGATCAGATGTGCTGTTTTGCAATATTACATAAAAAATGTACAAAATACCATGTTAAAACATCTTATAAAAGAAAATACCTTGTGCTTTTTTACATAGGTGTTATAACGGTCACTTCTTACATTCATGAAATGGGAAATACTGTATTTGTTTTATCTTTTCTTGCTTCTTATAGCAATGTTTTGGGTGTGTTTCCATATCTGTCATTTTTTAAGCATGAATTAAAATATAGGGAATTGAGTATGCTATATTAAAATGATTTTGAAAATACAAATCAGCAAATCACATAAAAACCACAGCTGAAATAAAGTTAAGGTGGAACAGAATGTATTAGAAATACATTTTGACATTTGATAGGAATTGTAATGCTACTGAAAATTACTTATTGTTGAGAAGAGTGTGTAATAGTTTTTTCCAACACAAATTATCCATACAATCAGATGATAAAGATGTGTTCAGATTGGAGACTTAGTATTTCGAAAATGAATTTATCCCTTATACTTAATGGAATTTGAAAACAAAGAAATATGAAGCAAATTGGGACATGAGGACCATCCAAAACAAGTTCTATACCTGCCTTTGTAAGAAAAGTGCAGCATCGTGTAACAGAGTATTTTTTTTATAATTGTTAAGGAAATTTCATCTGATTGTTTTTTGTTTTTTTTTCCTTTCCTGATTTGTCAGGTTATTCAAATTGTATATTTAGATGTAGACTAGTAAGTAAGTTGGGTAAATTTTTAGAATCTTTTGGACATTGTTCTGTGAGGTTTTCTTTGGTAGAAATCTTTTTTTTTAACATTTTGTAGTGTACTTTCAAGTTCAAATATTACATGACTAAGTCACATTAGGGTCTGTGCTGGCACTCCTGCCAATTTTTTGGCTCTGTCTGTAGTAACAAGAGGATATTCTAATCATGGGAATTCAGCATGATAAAACTGTAATTTAGAAATTCTTCTGGTTTAGATTCTTGGTTAGGAATAGTTTAATATTGGTAATGATAAATATAAACAGGTAAAGTTGGTTAAGCTTTTTTTCTAATTTTGAATGTGTGCTGAATATTGTTTATTTTCTAAAATGGGGAAAGTTGAGTACTAGTGTTACTGTCCAGCAAGCCAAGCAAAACCCTTTCTTAAAGATAAATACATATGTTATTTGAAGAATTTGTGAGTTACAGCTAGGCCTATAGAGGATTGAACTTTACTCAATGTAACAGTAGGTCAGAATAGTAAATATGTTGCTTTTTTACCCATTCATAGTTTATTAAATATAAATATTGTTATTTTATATAAGGAAACTTATTATTTATATATTGGTGATATAAAGTAATAACAATTTATAATTTCACAAAATGTGTATTGAATCTGTTTTTACTTTTCAGTCAATTGAAGCATGCATTGTGTATCTTTTTTTTAGGTTTTGTGTCTTGTTTTATGCTAGTATGTGTAATTTAATATTCTTTGTTTTATTTTTGTTTTACTCAATATAGGCAAAAGGATGTCAGGCTACAGAAAGACATGGTTTTTCTCAGATTAGTTTGCAACTCTTCAGAACTGAAAATGTAATATCACAAACAACTTTCTGTTTTGTTGTGAAGAGATTACAGGAGAGAAGAAAAACAAGAACAAAATACTGTGTTTAATAAATATTTATAAATGAACTGGGAACTCTAACATGGTTCATAATGTTATTGGGAATTGATTCATTCAGCTGTAGAAATTTTCATGTTAACAAGTTGGAGAATTATTATGTGTAAACAAATATGGAACTTCAAATAGCAGAGGCATCTGTTCTCAGTGTAGATGGAGGTACAGAAGTTGCATGGTGTGAAGATGCTGGTAGGCAGTCATCAGGAAACACACTGGATCATTTTGATTCAAGACATCGAAAGCGTGTTTTAACTGAAGGAGATAAGGAAGACAGAAAGGGAAAACCTCGTAAGGTTCAACAGTCTATTCAACAGTTAACCATGGGGCAGTGGAAGCTAGTTGACAAAGAAACTTCGAGGATTGTTAATCATAACAAGAATAATGGAGTTGCAGAAGTGTGTGTTGATGACAAACAAAATACAGAAAAGCACACTATCAGAGATGTTCAAAGTTTTTCTGTTCACAGTACTGGAAGAGCTATTTACTCTGGTAGAGAACACAATCTATCTGAATCATCTGAGGAACTAACCATGGATACCTCTTCAGAAAGTGAAAATGATATTGATATAGTCAGTTTGGTCACTTCAGTAGCATCGGCACAAGTAAACAAATCCCTTCCAAGTTCTCAGCCAGGCAGAAGTGCACAGTCTAACAATAATAGACATCAGTTACATAACAGTAAAAAGCCACATGAACTGATAATGTCCAGCAGCAGGGCCAACAATGATTACCATAGCACGGGTAAGTAAATTTTAGATAATCACCTCATTTAAATATATTTACAACTTGCAGTGGATAGTTGGAAATTTTAATATGTTAGAATATGTGCCACATTTTGAACACTAGTGTGATCATTTTCAAGTACAACACAGAACAATTAAATTTGAATATCATTATGAAAACTAATAGTATGATAAATGAGGCACGTGTGAGCATATGTAAAATTGAAGGTGAAAAGTGTTCTACCTTTAAACAATTTATGAAGGAAGTATGTTAAGATTATAATAGAACCTAATATAAGGGATGTAGTTTTTATGTAGATGTGAATAGGTTTATAGTGTGCAGAAGTCAAAAAAGGTAAAGAGATATTCCTGGATGTTTATTAATTTTGAGGTCATATGTTTTAATTAGTAAGGCTTCAGCTGTTTCTTTTTGTTTATGTTAGGTCTGTGTTTCAATTGAGAAGCAGTGTGAAAATGTGTAGTGATTGGATTGTATATGGTAATTTACATGTGAAGGGGGATTTCGGTGTTCTTTTATTCATGCGTTTAATTTGGTATCGGGAAAATTGCCCCCAATAGAATTGCCCTTCCAAAATTCAAAAGATTGTATTTATAATTACTTAACACTAACCCAGCTAACACACAATGTTCCTGAATATTTGTGTTGATAAAATCCACAACATCATGCATTATATGTTGTGACAACATTGTGTCACTGTTAGACAATAATGATGAAAATATATATAAATTCCATTAACAGTTTACATGTTTTAAAATGTGAACAACATCATTTGATATATTATTTGTATGGTTTATGCTTTTGAAAATTTACAAAGGAGGAAAATGTTTTCACAATGTTGCAGCAAAGTTGTATGCACAACTTTTATTGAAACACATTGTAACCTAAGTAATACGTTTACACTTTCTGCTGTGCAAGTACTTGTTATTTCAATTATTTTATGAATGTGAAATATATCATTTATCTTAGATTTTACTGTTCATGATTAATTATATATAGTTATCACAATGTTCTTGGCATAGGTATCACCAGAGTTGTATTTTCATAAGAAATACATAATGGCCTCATTTCTTACAGATAATTGTGTTTATTTTGGCTGTTTCACTATTTGCAGTGAATAAGCATTCAAATGAACTTATTAATTTAGTTAATGGTTAATTGTAAACTATGAGGTCAATTTCTCAAACTTCACATCATACACATAACGGCCTCATTTCTTACAAATAATTGTGTTTATTTGGGTGATTCAAGGTATGTTTCTATTGTTTATGTATTATGATAATATTTTATCACAAATGCATATAATACAGTTTTTTATATTTTTTTAATTTTCTAGGAATTTACGATCTTCTGTAGTTTTAATTTATGTGCATGTATGCATATAGTGTTTTTTAAAAAAAGAAGCGTTTTATGTAGTTATAATTGTACGTTTATTCTACAAAATTATGTTGAATTAAAAAATAAATAGATTAACTGGCATTTTGTTGTGGGGGCAATTTTCATGGGGTGTAATTTTCCTAGAACTGTTTAATTTGCATCCAGTTTCACCTATATAGAAATTGGAACAGTTGTTACATTGTATTTTGTATATGGTTTCTGCTTATGGAGGTTCATCATGTAGTTTTTTTAACATTTGTTTAATTTTTTGTTTGTTGGATGAATACAAGTCTTTTATGAACATTTATGTTGTACTTATGTATTAATCTTTGCCATATTTCTTTTAGGGGAATACTTAGATTATCAATGAATGAAATTGTGCCAGCAATTATTTTATAAGGTTGTTTTTGTGTATTGTTTTGAGTGGTGATGAGTAGATCAGGATTATAATTTACTCTATTATGAAACTGGCTTGCTATTTGGTGAACTGTTCTAATGGGGAACACATTAAGGCTTGTAAAGTATTTGGTTCATCACATTTTCTGTTCTCTAAAGAAATATAGCATATTTTATTTATCAGAGTAAGTTTATTGTTCTCTGTTTCTACTCATGTTATTTCTGATAATAGTTTTTCATAGAATTAATCCACTTAAAATATATAGTAAGGTATATACCATTGTAAGACAATTGTAGAGAAGATAAAATACCACTTTAATTTAATTTTGTAGTTTTATTGTTTAGATGTATTTTTATAAAATATTTGGATAAATAATTTTTATTGAACAAAATATTTTTATTGATGTATAAATGTGTAGCATATTTAAAATTTGGAACTATTTGAGATTTTATGTGGTATTAATTTTTTATCGAATGACTGATTTTACTTGTCCGTATGTATATACATCTAAAACATAAAATATAGATAATTACATTGCAGTGAATAAGCTTTCTAATGAACTTATTAATTTAGTTGAATGGTTAATTGTAAACTACGAGATCAATATCTCAAACTTCACATTATACACATAAATTTAAGTGGAACTTGTTGACATAGCCTCTTCAGTTTATTACGAGCAAGGTGTGGTTTGTAAAATCCAAATCATCTTTAAAAAGTGGATATTTATGTCTTTCTAAGTTGCAGTGTTACATTTATTACAGTAACCATAATACATCTGTATTAGTCAGTACTACTTTTTTTAATAAGACATTAGTGACTAATCTTATTTGCTAATTTAATAATTAATTGGAATTTTGAATTGTATATACTGTAGTTGCCACTTTTATCATATTCAAAACTAAAATGTTCATATATCTATCAATTGTAAAATTAATATAAAGGAATTTCATGTAATCAAATAAAGTATCTTGCAAGTATCATAGGAATTTTATAGATACTGGGGCGAAAAAAGAAAAGTACAAAAGCTGATGAGATCTTTATGGTGTTATATGATTTTTAGGATCCCAGAGTTAATTTAAGTAGTTAATATACTTTTCTTATAATTATTTTATACTTGTAGAACAGTAGTTACATTCTTTTATACTATACTATGTTTCAATACAGGATACTGATTAAAAGTCATTTATAAATTCAATACATCTGATACTGTATATTTGTATTAATCCATTTGCCTGTCACTCTGCTCATCGTGTAAGCTATCGACTTTTGAGTAAGTGCATTTGTTATCAGCATGTTGTTTGATTAGCATTTAAATTAACAGTAGATAATTAATTCAGATTATTAGAAATTGTTTTTGCAGACTTTTAATTCATTGGAATTTTAACAAATGCTTCTGTTTCCAAATAATTTATTCACTGATTGAAATATTAGTTCAGAATAAATGTATCAAAGTAATATGTTAATATATTTTTGCCATCACTATAAGCCAAGTACATGATATAGTTTGACAGTTAAAAATTGGCATCCACTTACCTGGCTGGACAAGTTATCTAAAAATATTAACATCAAACCTTGCTAAAATTTTAAATGTTTGTGTAAGATCTTAAAGTGAACATATGGAAAGTGGTTACATGAGAAAGTAGTATTTCTTATAAATACCCATACACTTTAATGTAATACATTTAGGTAGATTACAATACTTATGAATTATTGAAAAGGAATTGTGTGTATGCAGAGCTAAGATTCTTAAGAGAGAAAGCTACCAAATGTATTCATAAGTATCTCAGTTTTCTAGTTTTTTATCTACAAAATATGGCTTCTGAATTATGGAATAGCAAAAAAGTTTGTTTGTTTCAGACTATATTTTTTTTAGTTTTGTTAACAAAATGTGATTACCTATTTTATACACAAACCTTTGTATTCCAAAATAGTTTGGGGAATCAGTTTGATGAATGGTTTCTACACACCATTGTACCTACCTTCTCATCCATCAATGCTGTTTTTCACAACTATATACCTTTAAAACTCACTGGGATGACACTTCCTGTTATCAGTTAAGCTGGGTTGATAAGAGTTGATATAGTTTAAAATTTAAGTACTCTGTTGGTCATGGTGTAATGTGACTTGTTCTTTAATCTGAATCACATATGCTTTATATTTTGAGCTGTTTTATAATAACAAGCTGGTTATATATACACAAAATGTTCCAGTGTGTTTTAGATAATTACATCTTTGGAACTAACTGAACTCCACTAAAATGAAAACCTTTCCATTTGCATCAGAAATTAATTGAAGTATGATTAGACAACTTTTCCCTTGGAAATAATTCCTCTTAAGCATTTTTGTTCCCCCTCTCCATCTTGGTTAATTTCAAGTTTTGTATTATTGTACAATGACTTTATATAAAGTTACTTAACTAATCAAAATGTTAAAATACTATTATGTATACAATTGGACAGTAATAGTATTAAAATTACATTGTAAAATAAAATATATTAGATCAGAGTTAAGTACATTATTGAAATTTAAAAATGATTAAAATATGTAAGATAATGTAACATGTATCCGAGATATGTAGTGAAGACTTAAATACTCGAGAAAATAGAAAATTATTTTTAGATTTACAAGTAGGAAATTTGTTTTTTTTATAATTATTGTGCCTTGAATAATTTGTTCAAGTTAATGAATTTTTTTTTATAATTAGTTATTATTTATATACATCAAAATATACTACAGTCATGTTTTGTTAAATTAAAGAATGGGAAAGACCTTTAGCATTTGTTTAATTTTCTTAATCATTTATATTTATCACATATACACACCTTACAAAAGAAGAAAAATAAAAAGTGAAGTAATTAAGTATCACTGAGAAATTATTGAAGTTTATAAATGATTCTTGTCAAGTTAGAAATATTGTGCTTTAGTGGCATCATAACAGTGCTCTTTAGTACGTTTATTCACAAATATCCTAATGCCAAGAGTTTAGTTTTTCATTAAATAAGTTTGCCCAGTGGTATCTCCACATTACAATGCATCCTAAGCTAAAACAGAAAATTGTTTTAATCGTTATTTATTTTTTAAATAGGTGGAACTTCTGATAGTGTGGACAAAGCTAATGTAACTTTACAGAATACCAACAAAAGAGACGGACAAGGATTGAGAGATTGGCCAGCAGCTCAGAATGTTCAGTTAGATGAAGAAGTGAATAGTGTTGAAGTTGTTAGCATAGAATCTTTACAGCCTTCTGGGTAAGAAGTTTGCATGAAATGTTAAGCTAAATGGACATATTTTTTAATGAATGATCCAAGGAGTCATTCAAACTTTGAATGTAATTGTCAGAGATTTGTGTAAAATTCTAAATGATTCATAATGAGTGATATAATTTCAGTAAAAGCATATTATTTTCAGAATAATTGATATCACAGCTTATTTTGACAATTTTTTTTATTTAGGGTTGGGACTCTAAACATTGAGTACTTTCAATAAAGTTTTATAAATGTAACTACCAAAAACAGCATGAGCTAAGACATGATTAGTTTGTAGAAGTAAATGTGACTCAAGTTTTATATTTTAATGATGTGCTTGTGATGTTATACACACAATTCGTAGTAAAACTAATGAACCATGGCATCACTGAGTAGCAAGTTAATTTTCTTTTCTGTGATTTGTGTATCACAGCTAGAATCATATGTGTGGACTTCATTGAATTGCTAATAGCTCTCAATGGCTGATGTAATTTATACTTAGGTTTTGGAAGGAAAATAGTAATATTGACAATGAATATTTCAAGCATGTGGGAATATTTTTATAGCAAATGAAGAAGAGAAGAAAGCAAAATGTAAGTTGCGGTAACCTGACTTATCCTACAACTCAAATAGTACAGTTGCAGTGAATAATCATTAGAACTTAAACATCCAGAACAAAGAAATGTTAAAGATAATCCACAAAAACCAATAGTTGGACAATTTTTTAAACATCGATGCCAGTGTTACTAAAATAGGAGTAAAGAGTAATTGGTATGATAGTAATGTACTTACAGCAACTGAGCAGTAAATCTTTAAATCTGAGCTTTAAATCCTTGGTATCATACCTGGTACCTATTTACATAATTTCACATCACAAGACAATAACCACTTATTGAACATATGCATAACTTAAATCAAACTGAACTAAAAACCATCTTTTAGTATGTACACAATGTTTTACTGACAACAGATGTCTTTGAATACAGAGTTATACACTACAGTAATGGCTAATTTTCTTCTGAATTGGGAAATGAGAAGTTCTGTGCTGGACACAAAGTATGAAGAGGAAACTCGCATTAAGATTTTTAAAAGTCTTTGGAAATCATCATTAAAGGTTTAAACAATTGGGATAAGATCTTTTGATGTGAACACGGTAATGCTTATATTATGTTTAAAGCATGACAGTCAGAATTAGTAAAAGAAAAAATAAGCTCCATAATACATCATTTATCCTTAAATTTGGATTCAAAACTTTTCTCTATTGATCAAGGTAAATTCTACAGGATTTCAAGTACTAGAATACTCAATTCTCCTGTTACCTATACTAATCTATATTTTCACAAAAGAACCTGTAATATATATTTTCAGAAGTTTGTGAATGATACTGTTTTCTCCACATTTTTGTTACATCACATCATATACCAATGTTGTTTCTCATATCAGTCTTCTATGTTATAGATAGTTATGTTAATTCTCACATTTAATGATTTATTGCATCACTGTGTCTTTATGGTCAGACTAATTGAAGTGGAAAGCTTATTGTTTTAAGTGAAAATAATGGAAAGCACAGAATTCTATGTGCTTTTTGTTAGTTAACTGAAATTGTTTTCAATGAAAACAGAATATAAACTTTGTATAACTTTTATCTTGCAAAGTTTTAAATGAAATTAAATCAAGACACTACATCATATTCAAAAAATGTAGTGTAAATGTAACAGTTTTCTGTTAATGTTTTCCTTACCTCAGCGTAATTTTGCAAGATACACATATCTCATTGCTGTATTTTACAGCCTAAACTCTTTGCATATAACCGGATGATAACCAGAACATGTATGTTGACTCAAGCATACTTCCAGTAAATGAATTTGACAGCATGAAAGCAAATTTTTTGTCACATGCATTCTCTGATTTGATGAGGTTTAAGGGACTTCATCACTTTGTGCATTACATCTGGACAAAATTGGAGTACCTTTTAAAGAAATGACAGGTATGAACTTGTTACACAAGGTGGAGAATAGAGTGGCTGTAAAGGTAAGTTGGAGGCCATACTATAAACAGAGCACTTAAGTTGCAATAATTCTTTAATCAAATAAAAACTGTCGTTTCCAGTGTTCTATTGATATTTTAAGAACTTATACATGGAAAGATGAAAAAAATGTGATAACTATATTTTTTGCTAAAAAACATGCCTAAGCTTGTTCAAAGGCAGGGTGTGAGAATTGGGTGTTTTAAGCATATCTTTATTGCAACAAATGCATCACAAAAAAACAACAACAAACAAACAGTCAGTGAATTTACCACAATTCCAGTTCTTTCTAAGTTGCAAAACACTTGAACAGCACCAGAAGAAATGTTTGAACAGTTGACTAAAGATTTGGCAATCACAATAGTGCTAGATGACCATATCAGCTAAAATATCAGATGTAAAAACCCTACAAATGCCTGGTGAGTGCTGGTTTTGTATGGAAAGGTTATTTGATGCTTGAAACCTCTTCAAATGGCAGTAATTGAACCATCATCAAAAGACAAAGTGTCTATTTCTTCAGTTGCATTTGTTCTAATTTTCTTAGTGTTCCAACATTTGATACAAAGAGAAACCAACTCTGTAACAGTGAAAAATTACAAAAAACAATATAATACATCAAATGACAAAATTAGTTTGAAATTAGTATCTTTATGAATGAATGCATCTTTTCTAGATCTACATCATAAACATATGAAATTTATTGGTGCAAAAAATAACTGTTAAAAAACGTAAGCTAACAATAAAAATTGAGATCCAGTTGAAAAATGCCAAATGTAGCTATAAACCAGTGACACAGGAAATACTTTAGACTTTCTGCTGGAAAATTGTACAGTGATGATCACGTCCTTTTACCAAGCTCTGTGTTGGTACAAAACAAAGTAGAAAACTACTGTAAAGCTAGATATTTTCCCACCCAAGAAGATGCACTACAGTAGTGGAATGAACATTGTTTGTTTCCTCAGTTGGCACACTTAGATAACAATTATTTTAGCATTCTGATAACATTGTGCTTATTGAGTGAATGTTCTTGTCTGCTGGGTTTCTCATAACTAAGTGTGAAACTCTTTAAGCTACATAAATATAAACAGAATTTTATTTCTGAATGTATAGATAAATCATAATAAAGTTTAAAGAAACAATTGTGTCATTTTGTTATATGTTTTATAGTATTTACTAATGAAATATTTGGACAAGTATTAGGCTTTAAGCTATCAAGAAGTATAGTGTGTTTGTTTAACCTCCTCATAGTTTCTGTTACTGCATACATAATATAAATAGTAGTAAATGTACTAAATAGGTTTAGACATGTAAAAAGTTATTCTGCATTATAATGTAACTAACAAATACAATACCAACTTTTATGGTTTTTTTTGTTGTTTAAGCTGTTCATTTAACCATGGTTATTAATACAGTTTAAATATTTACTAAATTATTGAATGCTTGTGTTTTTTTACTTTTATGAAATTATATGTTATGTCATAACATTTAATCTTTTTTTTTGCTTTTTTTTTCTAAGTTTAAACAGTTCCTGCTGTTAAGGATTACAAATGTTATATCTAGTGCAACCATGGCTGTAGCCTTGCTTAAGTGGTTTTATACTTGCCCATCTTCCTGTATCCTAGCAGCTGCATTTCTGAACAGAGAATAATCCATATCAACTTAACTAATCAATTTCTGGTAAAACTGTTTTCAGCAAATATGTTTGTACACAAACACACCCAAAAATATTCTTATAAATATTTAATCTTCAATTTTTGAAGATGTTTCAAATCAAGTAATTTAAAGCTAATTGAAGAAAACTGTTCTTATAAAATATGTGTTTACTAATAGGTCTAACACAAAGGAAATAGTTGAGGGAGACACTCAGCCATTAGTGGAAGGTGCTGGAAACAACTTTAGACCATCGCCTGATTCTGGTGCTCCAGCTTTTACAAAATGTAGAAGTAGAAAGCAACCTTCCAGTAGACCTGTTGTAATTGACTTAACACATTCAGATGATGAAATGGTACATTTAAATTCCCCTTCTTCATCTCGGAGAGTTAGAAACAACCTACAAACTCCTGCAATGAACAGGTAATTTCTCATGTACATGTGATATGTTTCTACTGTCATGTGTGTTTTAATTACATTACCTTTTACAAATTTCTTTTTAACCCAAATGAGCTCCTCTTTAACTGAATTAAAAAATAGTATTTTCTGAATGACTTAATTGATTTGGTTTTGTGTTCAAGCTTAATTATTTTTGTACAATTTAAATACTTTATGTCTTGCATTCTGCTAAAGATGTGATTCTAGTTATTCTAGATTTTGTTGATGCCATCATGATTGAAACTTCTGGCATCAGTGTTCTACATTTGCAGTAGTAACTATCATTGCTATGAAAACAAATGATAGAGTTAAGACTTTTTACTTTTTCTCCTAGGTTTTACTTTGATCTTCAAGTCTTTTCTTGAGTTTGAGTAAGCATAACTGATGTGTTAGTTTAAAATTGTCAATTGTATCATGTTTTATAAAGTTGTTACACTGTACAAATTTCACTATTTACTCATAAAAAATGTTTTTGCAAAACATTTTTTAACAAGAAAAAGCATTAAAAATAGTTTATGTCAAATGTTGTGTATTTATTAATTGTTTAGATTTTTACCTATAAAAAATTAACTGATAACACATAAAAAATGCAAACTTTACTACTTTATGTTCATTATATTTACACTGCAATTCTACATTCTGTATTCACTGATTTAAGCAAGTTTCAGTTGTTATTCTTGCTGATACATGTATACTGTTTTTTACCAAAGTAACATATGTTACATTAAATTACAGCCTCCAAACAAATGGAACTGCAATAATATTCACGATATAAAAATAACTGCAACTGAAAAAATGTTAGTAAATTTACAGGCAGTCACTGATGCTTTACATTTAAAATGAAAAGTGTAACACTTTCTGTGTATCACTATCATAAACATAAGTGTTACTTTACAATTTGGAGGAAATCCATTGTAGTTTCATGAATACTTAATTATTTTTAAGGTAAAAAAAAAATTCCAAATGAATAAACTGCAGAAATGAGACAATTCATAACTGATCTTGTACTCTTGTAATCACCATTTATGTAATATTCAACATTATTTTATGCAGACATTTGGTTCACAGCTTCAAAAACAGTATTTAACAACTTAAATGTTTAAATTTCATTTAAGTTAATCACCCAATTCTACTACACAATATCAAGTGGGCAAAAAAAACCCTATAATTTTGGTGTTCTAGAATTACTGAATTGAAAATGGCTTGAATATTACTCTTGAAACATTGTACATACTATCACAGTGACAGTAATGCAGTAAATAAGAAAAAAATATTTCTTTATATGATTATACTGTGTGTCACTGCAAACCAACAGTGATAAATTTAGTTTAAGCCTAATAAATATCTACAATACATAAAGCATATTTTGTAATTTCAGTACTGTTACGAAACAGTTCACTCACTAATAATGACTCACTGCTACTGTATTTGTCCTTGGATTTTTTAAATTTCAGTAGCTATTGTCAAAAAACAAATATTTTATTTCGTAAAATTTGCTTTACATAGGCTGCATCTGTCAACCTACAAGAGATTTTGCTCAATTTTAACCAAGTTGTACATGTTTTCCACATTTTCCAGAGAAAAAAGATGAAGGAATGTAGTCTCTTTAAAATAACCTGCATAATGTTTATAATAAGACATTTAAAGTCCATTATAAGAGCTTCAAAAAGAAAGTCCATTGTGGACTGAGAGTTCACTTTTAATTGTAGACTTTCACTGTATCTGTTGGACGTATCCCAAGGACAGAGCTGGGTATGCAATTTGCTACTTAATTTTTTCAACATTAAATTTAATCAACATTTTCATTAACTGATAACTTTACATGACACTAATTGATGTAATGAATGCTCAATTGTTCATGGATTATCAATTAAAGCAAGGATTTTCAGTGGCATTCATTCTCAAAGAAACCTGTTTTAAGACAGGGAAAGTGGATCAGAAGTGAGGAAGGGTAGAAGTCAAATCAAGAAACTTGGTAGAAATGGCAAAGCAGTTGTGTCATTTCTTGTTAAAAGCAGCCCAGTTCACAGTAGAGGTGTGGTTAAGATTTCTACTGTCTGAATTTGGTACATTTAATGCATTAAATTTAATAATAATCTTGAATTTTGCTTCTGCAGAGAACTATATTCTACATCAAGATGCAAGAAAGTTCCTAAAAAATATTTTAATTATGAAATACTTCTTTAATTCAGGCTTAAGCTCTTATTCTAACCCCAGTATAAACTGAAAGTAAATGGCGTAAATCAGAAAAGAGTGGGAAACTTAAATAACAGCAATATCTTTATTCTCTACATTATAGCTGGATATTTTATTACTGTATATTTTGGTTATTATAGGAAACAAGCCAAAATGCTGAAAGTTTTATTTACAATCTTTGACTTGTAGAAATTTTGTTATGTGAGTTCTGTTCAAACTCAACTATTTACAATAGCTACTGTGTAATGATATATGGGCTATTCTAAAATATTTTTTTTTATTTTTTTACTATATTGGAAAGTTTTATTTGAATTTAGTTTGCTTTTGGACTTCTAAGTTAGCATGCCAAGTTTAGTATAGATTGATCAACTTGTATAAGGAGAAGATGTGTCCACATACAAGCAGAAAGTTTTGTTTGATACTGGATACTTACATCACTTGTATGAGTGATATCTATAGCGCATGTGAGAAGAGCATACTCGAGTCTGCCAAGCTTTGACTTTGTACTACATTGCATAATTGTTACATTTTCATGTACAACAGTGTAGAATTAAAAAAGTAACTTAATCTTAAATTGTACCTGAAGATGTATGTCATATTGAATGAAAGGTAGTTTTAAAATGTCTTTAAAAAATTCAAAACAAGCTAAAAAATAATTATTCTCTTGTGAAAATAATTAATTAATTAATTAGTTGAATCTAATTGTTTAATGAGCTAAACAATTAATCTATTAGCAAATTCCTCTACTTGTGTTTTACTCAATGTTGAAGGAGGTTAAGAAACCAAAAATGTAAGATCATAATGATGCCATCTGATTAGTAGAAATGAACTTCATTTGTTTTAGAACATTGACACTAATGTCAAACAATTCAGTCTTATATAAATATGCTTCTACTTCTTTAGTGTAAGAGAGTGCTGTTTTATAACATTTAAAATAATTTATTAAACATTTTGAAATCATCAAAATTCCATCATCAGCAATCTAGAGGTACAAAACAAACAATATTTGTAATTACAACAGAAATTTGATATACATTAGAAGTAAACAATTTGAATATACAAATTATAACAGTAGAAAATGAAAAATGTGACACAAGTGAAATAATTAAATTAAAATAGGTTTAAATCAAGTGAAGACTGAATTATTTAGGGAAGGGAGAAGAGTTTTTTATGTATAATGTTTCTTTTATAAGACGTTCATTGTCATGCTTAGCTGTTGAGAGAAGTTTAAACTTGGAGAAAGAAATCAGATGTCCTGTTTCTGTATTGTGTTGATAGATAGTGGAGTTGGGAGGGTTTGTAACATTTCTTCCAGTTTTTATAGATATGCCCATGTCTTCACATGTTCGTACTTTAAGGTGATGTTTGGTTTCACCAATATAGGAGGCCTTACAGTCTCTGCACATGTATAAGTAGACGAGATGTGAACAATGGGCAGTCGACAAACGATCTTTGTAATACAAAAAATTATTTAGTCTGAAGTTGGGTTTCATAATGACTTTCAAGTCAATTTGGGGATAGTTAGAGTTACATAATTTTTTCAAATGTTTTGTGATTAGGGAGCTCTGTCTCCTGAGATATGGTAAGCAGGTGTATAAGGGAAATTTAGGTACAGTGGGTATCTTAGGTGGTTTGGCAAACAAATTAGTTAAGAATGAGGAAGTTATTTTCTCTAAGAAATGCATAGGGTAGCCATTTCAAAAGAGAACGCTTTGTATGGAAGTAATTTCTTTGTGAAGTGGTAGATAGGATGAGGTAAGTTTGTAAGCTCTATTTAGTAGGCAAGAGAATAAAATTGCATTTGAAAGAGAAGGATATAAACCGTCAAACTGAGTGAAAAGGCCAGTAAATGTGTTTTTACAATAGACAGAAGTTGAAAAGCTGTTAGTATCATGATTAACAAGAACGTCCAGAAGGAAATAGTTAGGAGTGAAGTGTATAGAGGGGTGTTGTGAAGTAAGATAGTCAAGAAAGCATTGGGTATGATCAGTATGGCAGAAAATAAGGAGAGTATCATCAACATTGCTATTGGTCATGTTTATAATTAATAGAAAGAGCAAATGTAATGACTGAGTTACAGGTTCTGGGAATGTCTATATATAACATTGCAAAAGTTTGTATTTCTTGTTCTTCTTTCTTATTACATGATAACTCAAAAAAACAAAACTGATGATCTCAACCAATTTCACTGAGGTAACATAGTTTCAAATGGAGTATCCACTTTTATAAGTATTATTAATAACTTGTAGTAATTTAAAAAAAATCATAATTCTTAATGATATTAGCATTACCCTTTGAAGTTAGTTTTCTTACAGAAATTTGTTGCTCCTTTAAAAAGCTTAAGTACAGGGTAAAAGAGGAATTATCAGCCAATAATAGATAAACTAGGTATTACAGTTGGAACCTCATTGCATTTAGAACTACGTTATAAATACAACCTTCCTATGTCTATTCAAATACTGCATTAAAAAACAAGTAAAGAAAAACTTTTCAAAAAAGGAAGTAAATGTAGGGTTGGCTAATATCAATCCTTCAAAAACAATGCAATCATCCCTACATAATAGCACAGGCACACAGTGTAGTAGAATGTTAACAAGCAGAAATAGGATAAATTAAACTCTATTGTAACTGAATAGTTATGTATATTTTTCTATATGTTAACTCTTGCTTGTGCTATTATGTATTGATGATGCAAATGCCATCCCTATTATCTTGTTTGCAATGTTTTTGAAGGATTGATATTAGCTGTCCCTACATTTACTTCATTTTTTTGAAAAGCTGTTTCTTTACTTG